ACTGAGCGATGGGAGAAAAGTGGGAAGAGCAGGGCAATGGTAAGGCGACTGCAACTGCTTCGAAAACGCGTGGAAAACAAAACAAAAAAAAGATCAGAGCAAACTTTGCACACTGTACCCACTTTCCCACTTTCCCTGTTTCCAGTTTCTCCTTATATTCCTATTTTTTTGACTGGCATTTTTATAGTTTCGCAGTCGCCGGAGGAGAACAAAACTGATGAGGGCATATAGAAGAAAGGAAGGGGCTGTTGTGGGATTTTCAACCGGCATCGTACTTAGTATGGATAAACTGTTTTGATAACTAAAAACATTCAAGTTATTGATACTGCAAATATAGTTCGGAATTTGTTTTCATTCTTATGGTTATTCCTTCCTCTACTTTCACCAGTGAAATGTACTTTATGAGCTTGTGTGACTCTGCTGATGGTTAGGCAATAATGGAGAAAGTTGTTGAACCAAACGGCTTCACTGAGGTGCGGCATTGATTAAAGAGATTTACTTGAACTGTAAACAATCCAGTATATAAATTACAAGGCTTTATTTACTCTACGAACAATTGCTTTGTAATTTATTTACGTTTTAATTATAAACGTCTTTTAGTTCTTTTTTGTAATTTCACAAAATTTGCTTAAATTCACATAACGATATTTTATCGACAGATCAACAGATTAGCCAGATTGTTTGAAAAATGTATTGCTCAATAATTAGTTAATATATTATTTCAAATCTAGAATAAATTAAGTTTATTCCAGGCCCATCGAGACGGTTTCATCCTTATAAATTATATTGAAAATCCCCAGAGATAACCTTCGAAAGATCATAACCCAATCCATTTCGATTGAATGAGCCGCCAACATCCCTCACAGATTCTTTCCCTAAAATCTATCCCTCTTGTTATCCACTCTGTTCCACTTGACTTGAATCCTTTGGTTGCTTTCTTTGGGTCAGCTCCTTGATGGCCACCAAACTGATTAGGAAAGCCAACAGAAAAATAAAGGATGCCGAATCGATTTAAAGGGTGGGAAAAATGAGAAAACAAGTGGTTTGAGGGGCAGAATAGCATGCACCTCGTATTAAAGAGGGGGCAATTTATGGCCACACTTGGGGGAATACCGAAAACGAAATTGCAAATATTTAGCCATATACTTATAAGGCAACACACGCATATATATATGCACACTTAAAACAATTATATCTAAAAATATATATATAAAATGCTTTAAATAGTTTTTTTCCTAAAATAAAGATGCCCAAAGGCGTGCTTTACCATATGGAAATATGGACACGACTGTACTTCGAAAAATATAATTTCAAGCCGACTTTTGAGCCTTGTTTTTTTTTGTCCAGTGTTCTGCTGCCATGAGTGCACATGTGTTCGTTTGTATCTGTCTATTGCTCATGTCTATGACAGCGGAGGCGAAGCCGCAGCGACGTGCCACAAAATATTCGCCAAAAGCATGCAACCCAAATCGGAGGAAAGGGTGGTGCACAGAGGGTCGTGCCAAATGGGGATGGGGTTGTGTATTGAGAATGCCGGGCCTTGCAACATGTTGCCTTTGCACTGCTGGTCTCGCTATATTGTTTTGGACGGCGAGCGCATCAATTTCTACACAAATTCAACATACACTCACTTCGAAAAGACCAAAAAAAAAAAACCAAAAAAAAATAATAGAGGTAGAAATAAAAACCAAAAAGCAGCGAATGTAGTGGGTAGGTGGATTTGGCTGCGCTTCATGTGCGCAATATCAAATTTGAAAACACAAACCCAGTACGGATGGCCGCAGACACAGACACAGAGACACGCGGGGGAGCGGTCAGAGAGGCGAACGCCAAGGATTCCCCCGATGCAGGCGCTTAAGAAGTTTCAGACATGAAATCAATTTGTCTTCCAACTCCCACGAAAACGAAAACGAGCCAAGACCGGCAAATGCAACAGCAAAAGGGGGGAACCCCAGACCCACGACCCACGACCCCAAAAACGAAATGAAAGCAGCCAGTAAACTGCTGCGGGAAAACAGCGGCGATTCCCCAATCGAATAAAGACGAATCAGCAAATGCACTTATCCACCTAAGACTCATTGCATTTGGTAAAAACTTACCTTTCAGTTTATCTATAAAACATTTATTATTATAAGCCGGCGGTTTCTTTTGTAATGTTGTAATGTTGCGTTAAGGGCTTCTTGTCTATACAAAAAAAAAAAACAAAAATAAAAATAAGAACATTTTTCAAACATAGCAATATTTAAACAAATATTTAAGGATTATTAGATATTTTATCTAAAAATTAATGGTGATTCATAATTTATTATAAAGATTAATTTCCTTAATGGCTAGCTTAAAAATGTGTTCTCTATAAAATACTAAAAATGGGAAATTTTTTTTTTGATCATAGAATATGCATATAGATTACCCCTTTAAACTAGATTTGATATAGCTACTTATCCAATTACTCTCGAACCTCTGCCCTTAAAGGGCATCAAATGGGCAAGCATTCGCAAACGCTATATTCGAGTCAAAGTCAGAGTCAAAGGCAGTCATGTGGCAACTCACACACCCGGATCCACATATGCGGTGTTGCAATAACTTGTATTTTAAGTTTACTCACTGCTGGGATTCAAAATTTAATTTCATAGTGCGATGCGTTGTTATTATTTTGCATAATAACATTTCTGGCCCCCAGTTCCGTTCACTCAAACAATCTCTGTGATGTTCGGGGCTGGGAAATGGGTATGGGTATGTGGGTATGGAATTGGGTATGGAATTGGGATTGGGATTGAGGCTGAGAATGGGTGTCTGGTTTGCGAGTGGCAAATGCGAAATGCGAGCCTGGCCTGCGGACTGACCGATTGTGCAATCGAATCAGGCCTATTAGACTCCGTTCGTCGCATTAGCAATACGTAACGGATGGGGGAATGGAGCCCCAGCGAACCGGACTTCGACACCAGACACTAAATGCCTCATCAGCATTCCGATGAGTGTTTATCTGAGTGTGTGAGTGGATTTGCGTTTGGGCTAATCAAAATGTGAGCGATGGCAACGACAGTTGACCACGAAACAACGCAGCGTCCAGGATTAGCTATTAGTCCAATGTTCCTACCCATAAAACCTTCTTTTTATAGCTCTCACCTGTTAGGGTGCAACCTGAAACGCCGTTTAGGTCCGATTTCTCAATGTCGTGTTAAGATTCTAATTTGCAATTAGCGAGATAAAGTTAACAAAACACTGGGATTTTATTTTGCCAACGACAGAACTTTTAAGCCAGTTAAACTCTATCACTTTATTTGAATAGTAACACTTTCCGCAACTGCAAATTAACATAAAAACTCTCAAAACTTGACATGACTTTGAGAAATCGGGCCTAAGTGTGTCAGGTATATGTGATTGCTTAGGTAAGAATTCATACAGCTTTCGAACTATTAAAGGCAATGCTTGAGTACCCAATATTGTCGGTAAAGCTACCACATAATGGCGCCAAATACAAAAAAAAAGAAGGACTGCAATGCCCCACGGGCTTAAACAGTCCACCAAGTTAGCTTTAGAGCGCTGAGATTGCCTTTTTATTGACAATTCACAGCACGCGTCGTGCAAACAGATCCTCAAAGGTTATAACTAGCGCGAAAAAGGTCCTTTTGTTGCTGTTGTAAATAGATTCATAAATAAAACTACAGCCCGACAGTCGCAAAGCACAAAAAAAAAGGCAAAAAAAAAACCCAAGGAAACCGAAAGAAATCCTGCAAGTGAAAGTGTTAACACTTGAAGTGGTGTGCTGCAAGGATACAGGATATATGCATGTCTCCGCGGGATAAAGGCAACTTCCAGTCTGAATGTCAAAGTTTGAGCCTGGCAATACTTTGAAATATTCATAAGGGTTTACACTCGAAAAACAAACGAAGTTAGTTACGAATTAAAAAAATATATCTTTACCATTGCTTTGCTATTCAATTTTTTACAAAAAACGAAACGAAAATTTCACAAGGGAAATATAAACAAGTAAAAGCACGAAACAAAATTTGTGTTAGAAACGAATTAGTTACTTAAGCTAAATTTTAACATTTTAAATTTTTTGTTCAAGTATAAGTGAGACTACAGACCTTAACACCGACCCACCCAAGCTTGCAAGTAAAAAACTTACACACAGTCATAAAGCAATAAAGCGAAATCATGTGTAGAAATTTTTATAAGTCGGGTGTATCATCCAAGAGCCAAATGCTCAAGGATCTTTGAAATGTGCGGGGTGACTGGTTCGTGGGGGGCATGGCGAGTGCAAGGACTATCTACTTTCTTTGGGCAAATCCCAGCCAGGAGCTTTAGGTTTAAGCTCAATTGTTTTGCCCGACTTTATTTCATTGCCATTTTTATGCTTCTACATTTTGGCTGCGTTAGAAAAGCCTTTAAGCGAAATAAGAAATGCATATTTATTGGAAAAAAAATCAATCAAGCTTAGATTTAATAGTTGGTACAAAATCAGTTCAAATAAGAACTGGCATATAAAATGTATATAATAGCACTATTGAGTGCGATTTTCTGAATGAAAATAAAGGTTTGATCTCTGGAGGTTAAGTAACATAAAATATATTTAAGCATTACAAATTTATGCACCAGTGGAATTAATATATTGACACATATAGTTTAAATAAATGCAAATATCTAAGTGCTAGCAGCGGCTTTGGACGACTGAATTGTTGTTTTGATAATCAGTAAGATATGAGTTCCTTATTAGAAATGTCTTGTCTTCAAAATGATGTAAATAAAAACAATATTTCATAAGCCACAAGGTTTTTTCCGTTATAACAGGTTTGCACAACTCGAATTGAAGCAGTAACTGCATCAATGTTTACATCAATGTTATTGTTTGTCCAGCGAAAACAGGAGAATGCAATAAAACACCTGCTCTAGATCCAATTCCATAGAGATCTTACAACTATATATAGAGCTGATAAATGGTTAATCAAGTCAGTTGAATTTGCTCAGTCAATCATCTAAGAAACCCAAAAATCAAAATGCGCGTCTTCTTCCTCGTCGCTCTGCTCGCCATGGTTGCTCTGGCCACTGTCCAGGCACGTCGTCCTCATGGTCCTCCGCAGGGAGGCCAGGGACCACCCCAGGGTGGACCAGGTGCTCAGGGACCGCCTCAGGGAGGTCAAGGACCACCTCAGGGCGGACCAGGTGGTCAGGGACCACCCCAGGGTGGACCTGGCGGCCAGGGACCTCCCCAGGGACCTCCCCAAGGACCTCCTCAGGGTGGCAACTCGTCCTCCTCCCAGGAGTCATCCTCCCAAGAGAGCTCCAGCGACTCCTCCGCCTAGAAACCTTATTGCGGTAACTTATGCACCGAGTCCTTAAAATAAAAGAAAATCATGTAAGACTCTTTGAATAAAGATATATATTTTGATTATTTCAAAACAAAAGCGTGTAACGATTCCATTAGCCAGGGGAATTTTCATTTCCAGATTGGAGTAATGGTATATCCTGGTAGGGTCCTGAAAAAATGTGAGTGGGTGTGAAGGCGTTCCCCAAATCGGCTGCCTAAATAAGAAATCGTTTTATTTGAAAAGTTTCCTTTTGGCACGCCCCCTTAAGCTGCCGCCCCCACTTTTCGCTGGCAGAAAGCGGCGACGTCTACGTTGGCGACACCAGCAACATCAGGCGAAACAAAAACACCGAGAGAAACAGTGGTACAATAAAAACAAGAAGAAACACTTTAATCGAGTGCCCCGACTATTGCATACCCGTTACCCAATTTATCAATTTAAATGTGTGTGTACATACTTTTTAGGGTCGGAACCGTTTTCTTCTATCTGTTACATACTTTTCTTCAAATACAATATATCCTTTTATTCGAGTAGCGGGTATCAAAAGGACAATAACAATAAAGGCATTTTAATTTGGAAAAATTTAAGTACCCAATGATGCACATTGATTAAAGAACAATTGAAATGGTAACAAAGATTAGTTGCGAAATTTAATAGAATATTTTAAAATATTTATTAATATATATTTTAAAGCTTAAATATTCGTTTTAAAACATATTATTCCCTAATTTGCAATGGGTAATCAAACGGTGTATATCCTGTCAAAAACACAGCTGCCAAAAAAAGAGCAAAACGATGAATAGCAAGGCAACAAAGTTAAACTGTAACAATAACCAAAGTCAAAGTTTGTCGGCAAAGTTTTCGACTTTTTCGTCCTTGTTGCCCTCGTTGTTGTTGCATGCGTGCGGCTGTGTGTGTGTGTGTGTGTCCACAGGATACAAATTCATTTCAATTGGTTATATGTAAAGAAATGGGTTTGAGTGGCTTGGCTGTAGGAAGTTGAAAAGTGGGAACGACGAGGAATCTGTGTAAAATGAGTTTGGTTTTTTTTTTGTTGCTCATTTTATTTTATTTTATTTTATTTTTTGTTGCCATTGCTGTTGTACTTTTCAAGATGAAACAAGTTTCACGTGGCCGTGGACCCTCCCCTGGGTCGGAAAGTCATCCTGTAGAAGGATTCAGGACTCTGGATTCTAGGCCAGGACATGCCGCATCGCATACCTGCAGACTTCCTTCGCTTCACTTTCTTTTGGCAGCGAAATGCCAAAGAAATGCAAATAAAACTTTTCTTTTGTTTTGCTTTCGGCTTTTGCCCATCATGGTTTAGCAGCTTAAACCTTAAAGGGCCCACACGCCCAACTTGCTCCCACCTAGAAGCAACAACATTTAGAAAAGCACAGAAAAGAACAAAAAAAAAACACTAAGTGTGGAAATTTTAATTTCACTCAAAATTCAAAGTGCTTAAAAGCAACAGAGAAACGCCGTGGTTTTTTAAATTGAATACTTATCAATATATTTTAATGATATTTTAATCTTTGAAAATTATAATTGAGTCTAAATAGTTGGTATTTAAAGATACAAAAAAGTTTAAAATTGTTAATTAGTCTTCCTCAGTTTTGCTTGAATTTAACATTTTCTTAATTTCTACCTAACTCAATTACGTAAAATAATCATTGCAAAAATTGTACAGTTCAACAACTAAATTGTAAAATAGAATATTTAATACAGTAGTAATGACACCTAATGTTTTACACAAACTTTCTATTTTCATAATGGTAATAAATTGAACGAAACTGTTACTTACATTGTTATACTGGAAAATATCACTTTTATACTCAATTTGAGTTTTTCGTTCTTAAAATTTTTTACTCAAACTGGGATTTTTTGATCTTTGATTTTTTTGAGTACGAATTATCTCAGATTGAGTGCAATATACTTGATTAATTTTCTCTGTGTAGACTATTTCTATCGTCTATCCTTACTCAAAGTTGCCGATATATTAAGGGTACTAAGGCTGCAAAATTGTTCTCTGTTTCGAGAACAGACAGTTTTCTGTCGCCATGTTTTTACTCCAGCAAGCGACCTCCATTGCATTTCCTAACTGTTCATTACCAACATTTGACTGTCGCCCTCTCACTTGCACAGTCATACACATCAACACACACACACACACACAGCCAGAGGCATCTAGAAAAAGTGTAGGCAAACAACAATGGAAGCAACACGAGCAAAAACTTAATTAAGCATTTTGTTGTACGATGCTGCAACAAAACAAATTCCTCTTTAAATAAAGCACCGAAGCAATTTATTCCAATTAACAACAACAACTGCATAGCATGTATGCGTGCGAGCGAGATGGGGGACGCAAATAGGACGAACTGTTAAAGGCATCCGATGGAAATAATTGAACAAAAACACTTTCCAACACTGCAAATGACAGTTGGATTAATTTCTATCAAATACTCTGTCCCATTTCAAAATAAAAGAGGATGTTTAACTGAGAGGGGCATGCATATTACATCAAATAACATCATAAAACATACAGGTCTATGATGAAGGTATATAATTTATTTCACTAAAAGGGACATCCAACATTTTTATACATATCTACCAGTTACCAGATTTAAAATCAGGAAGATATTTCAAATATTCTTGCTATACTAATAGGGTTCCCCAATGGGTCACGATTTTCTTTCTATTATTGTGTTTTCAGCTTGAGCTGATTAAATAACTTAACTTTTATTTCAACTCATCAAACCACTTGTTCAAACATCCCTTTTATATAGAGTATTGTATAAACTTTTGTGTAATTCATACTTATGGCAAAGACATAAATATTATTGATGCTTTACAAACTAAACCAGTAGACTGGTCAGAAATCGAATTGTCTAACAATTGTTAGCAAATATTTTGCCCTGATATTGACACAAAAAACAGGCCCAGATCATTAGTAGTTTCTGTTATGTAAGATCAATGAACCAAGCCAAACAACAGGTGAACGTGCCGACCTATGGGGAAAATGTAATGTTTTTAAGTTATTTAAGAAAACAATTTTAAATAATTTTAATAAAATCTATTAAAATAACATTTTAAATTCAAAAATGATAGGAGAACGTTTTGGCAAGGGAGTTTTTAGTTTGTTATGACTTTTGAATATGGGCTTAAGAAAAAAATAATTAAAATTAAATGACATTTATTTATTAAGAAATAAACAGCATAGAACCTTTTTACAGACTACACAATACGGTAAACTTATTGAAAAAGGTTATATCATTTAAAGAATTAGCTCAAAACTTTTTCAAATTAGATATTGCCGAGTTTGTTGCTTACATATATATGTATTTTTTCTGTCCAGCAGAACTCTTTAACGAAGTCCAATGTCAACTGACTTGGCCAGTGGAATTCACCTAATCCACACTGACGTTAGTTTGTTAGTTTGCTCGGGCCACACACGTCACCGATGGAACACATGTGCGGAGAAGACTTTCTCCAGACGGTGGGTATATATAGAGCTATTGGGGGATGCCGAGATCAGTTCGAGTCGTTTACTATCCGATAACGAAATGCGTACCCTCATCCTTGTTGCTCTTGTTGCTCTGGTAGCTGTGGCCTCTGCCCAAGGACCTGGAGGTCCTGGAGGTCGCGGCCCACGTGGTCCTGGTGGCCCCGGTGGTCCAGGTGGTCCAGGTGGTCCAGGTGGTCCAGGAGGCCGCGGACCTGGTGGTCGTGGTCCAGGCGGACCAGGAGGTCCAGGAGGCGGACCAGGAGGACCAGGAGGTCCAGGAGGTCCAGGAGGCCCACATCGCGGCCCCGGAGGTCCAGGTGGACATGGACATGGACCATGGGGACCGCCGTGCAAACCGAGAACCACCACAGAGGCCTCAACCAGCGCTTCCTCCACCACAGTGTCCCCAACCAGCGCTTCCTCCACCACGGTGTCCTCCACCATAGCTTCCTCCACCACAGTGTCCTCCACCACGGTCTCCTCAACGGAAAGCACTGAAGGCACAACGGTATCCTCAAACGCTTGAGCTGTTTACGCTGGAAGTTAGTGACTTTTTTTTGAATATTAAATAACGATTCTATGCATAATATACCTAGTTGTCTATTTTATCTAAGACTTGGAAAAAAATATTTCCCTACAAGTAATGTCCTCCATGGTGATAATCAAATGTTAATAGGATGCTTGACCCACTAATAGGACATCTTCGTTAATATAAGGTCAAAAACCATATCAGAGAATTTAATAACACATCCTGATTTCGACTGCCAAAGAAGCTCATTGAATGCCTAGCCAAGCATAAAGCCATTTAATTACCTTGGCTAAGTTAAGTAATTTTATCAAAATTAGTGCATTGGTATTATGCACAGCCAATGCTTAATTGCAGGTGATTTTGGATTGCATCGAGGATGGAACATAGACTACAATGGGACTGTGAACAATACACCAATTCACGGTAGCAATCGCCGCATAGATTCGATTGTGATTGGGGCTCCATTCGCAGCCCAACCAATGTCCGCCTTGTTGGGAATTAAGTCCGGACCGGACTCATCTCCGGCATGGATGCAAGCCAAATTGTTTACTATTTAATTGTGTTTGGTCAAATTATTCCACAATTCTAAAACAAGTACTTACAATTTTTTGTAACTGACAAACGGACACGGAAGAATTTTATTTCAAAAATATACAAAAAAAAAGTATTTTTTGATTAACTTTTGCTTTCCATTGTCAAAGAAGCTCATTGAATGCCTACCAATTTTGGTATTATGCACTGCCAATGCTAAGTTAATTGCAGGTGATTTTGGAATGCATCGAGGATGAGCATAGACAACAATGGGACTGCGAACAATACACCAATCCTCGGAGCAATCGCCGCATAGATTCGATTGTGTACGCGGCTCCATTCACAGCCAATGTCCGCCAACCAATGTCCGCCTGGTTGGGAATTAAGTCTGGACCGAACTCATCTCCGGCATGGATGCAAGCCAAATTGTTTACTATTTAATTGTGTTTGGTCAATTTCCGACGCAACTTTATTTCCAGCTGCCCTCGCACAGAGAAAAACATGCACAAGGCAGCAAGGATCCGGGGCAAAAGTAAGGGGAGTCCCCGAAAGAGCTAAGCAGGATGAGCATGAGAAGCAGCAACAGGATTAGGAGGCATTAGAAGTTATAAAACAACAAGATTATGGCCACATTGGCCATAACAAATACACACTCAACTGTGCGAATGAGCGAAGGTGTTTGGTGTGGCTTCCAATAAAAACTCTTGTTTTCAAATTAAACCTAGATAAATTTGTTTAATTTTGATTGTTACTAATCAATTAAGGAGTTCTTAATCCCTAAGTGTGGTTAACTCAAAAACTTCATTCAATTCGGATTGTTGTTTAATGTAAAACACAATTCATGGCATTAATAATCAATAATAATTAGTTAATAATATTAATAATTGACTATTATTAACTATTATCATTATTAATTAACAATAATTAAAAGGCCTAAACTTGAAGTTAATTTTGGTCCAGTTTTTTATAAAACTTTCAAAGCTATTTACTACTTCACACTTTTTTTGGTCACCTTGACTCCCATGGGAGTGGGTCAATGTCAGTGGGTCGATGTAAGTTTGGCCATGACTCCATGACCACCAGCTACGTCCTTATCAAATCACGCTTCATCCGTTTAACAATTAGCACCGATAACTAATTTATGGTCAGGATGCGGCATCTAGGCAATGGTTTGGGCCAAGGGGCGACAGGAAACTGGAGTGGTTTGTTTTGGAGTGGAACGTTTACACGTAATAACAATTACAAATGTGCGCGCTCCATAAATCAAGTGAAGCCATCTCCTGAAACTTGTAGTCCCCCATTGACGCCAACCCCTCTATTTTTTCAAGCCCCTTTCCAAATGAACTGGCCAAAATCCCTTGCCCCATCCGAAATTTCCCCTCCATCTGGCTGCTCCTGGGCACTAATTACAATTCAGGACGCGTTGCACTCGAAAGTTGTTGCTCATTCAACACTCGACTCCTGGCGATGAGTTGTAGAGAAGGTAGATGGTTGGGTGTTGGTTGGGTAGTGGGTGGTGGGTGGCGGGTTTGTTTGGTAGTGGGTGGTTAACTTCAAAGTGGCATCGCCTGGGTGGGAAGTGGTGGCCCCAAAAGTGTTGTTGTAATTAAATTATGTGCCAAGTGACGTTCTCGGAATTGTCCCTACAATCGTTTTGTTCTTCTTTCGCCTACACTCAAAAATATATTGGTCAAAAACTAAAAAATCTTAAAAATTTAAAAATGTGAGCAAATAATTCAACAGTAAAAGGAGCCTTTTACCATTGGAATCTGCACACAATCGACAATAAATGTTATGAAAAATGTGAGAATTAAATTAAATGAAATACTCAAAGATAAAATATTTAGACAATTGTTTCTTTAACAAAATAAATGGATGTCAATCTTGCTTAATCTTACCCATTTTTAGACACTTATAAAGTTGCCAAATTTGTTAATTAAAATTACATTTGTATTACAAATATGAGTTTATTTAAAATAATTAATATATATGAAGCATATATATTAAGATCGAGATATTTGTCTAGCATAGTTTTAGCATTTGCAAATTACAATGTATTTTTTTTTACAAAAACTTAAAATGTTTGGTATTACACTCTCTTTAGAAATTATAATTAGACATATGTAAGTGCTAATGAAATGTAAAAAGGTTGTGAACCGTATACTACAGCTCCCATTTTTTCTGAGTGCATTTTAGACCCGTTCACAGCCCTCCTTTGGCCTGTTGCCTGTCGTCGTTTCGCCTGTGCCATCTCAGATGTTGTGGCAAATTAAGTTTGCTTTTGTTCTAGATTAAAAAGGCATTGAAATGCCGGCATGGATGGGCGGGTGGAAGGGTGGACGATGAAAAGGAGAGCGGTGAGTGGGTGGTAGTAAGCGGCAGTTAAAATGACGCCTTCGGCCAAATTTAGCTAACTTTGTTAAGTTTGTTTTGGATGTGGGAGCTGAATGTCGGCCGACGCCTCCAAGGGGTTCCATTGGATGATGAAGTGCCCAGACGGCGATAGGACCACAGATATAGACGGAGTGGCTCTGCGGATGATGGGGACTACAAGCGGGGACCCAAATGGGCACAAATTAAAAATCAACTGCCGCGTGGGCGAACGAGGCGGCAACTTAAGTAGCTGACCAACTAAGTAATTGAAGGAACTAATTGAAAACGAAGGGATAAAGGGAAACGCAAGCTTAAGATGCACTGAAAAAACGAATGTTGTGATGTATATTTGTGATCGATACAAACTGAGATAATTTTAAATGGTCCAAAATGTAAAACTTCTGAGCCCTTAAGACTGTCCAACAATTAATATATTATAATTTTTTTCAAAAGTTTGCAAAGCAGTGGAGACATTTGCGACCTTATAAATAATATTTTTTTTTCTAAGCTTATAACTTAAGCTATTGATATCAAAAATACATTTTCAATTGTATTATTATTGTCCATTGAATAATTAAACGGAAAATCAACCAACATAATAAAATACGTTAAATTAAATTCAATATATTGTGATATTATAGAATATAATATGTTTGTTTGTTAGCTTTAAAAGTATATAAATTTCGTCTTGCCGATTTCTGACTATATTGTTTTGAGTGTACAAAAGTCCCAGTTAAAACATTAGTTCTTCTTTTCATTAGAGCTTTGTCAATTTGGTCTACAAAAATTTAACAATTTTGCTACCAATACTCTTTTTATATTTACAATCCAAACTCTTAAAGATCTGCTTCCTTTACAAATTGGTTTTTCAGCCCAAACTAATCAAACATGAATTTAAGTGGCAGGACTGCATGCTAATGCAAGGATTCGTCCCAATTCAGATGCAGACCGAAACGAAAATGAAACCGAAATTAAAAGCTGCAAAAAACAATATACGAAATATATATATACTCCCACTAGCATGGAAGGCGATTCAATTTGGAATTTCGAATTCCACGCACATATTCCATTAAAGTCGTTGGCGTAATTTTAATTTCGGATTTGGTCCTTTTTTGCCCGGAAGCACCAGCAGAAGCTAGAAGGCAGCAACAGCAGCAGCAACAGCAGCAGCTGCTTTAAGGACCCGGGATAAAAAGACGATAGAATATTAAAGAAACGGTGCCAATCAAAATGAAATTTAATTTGCCCAACAATGTGAACACATAAGGGGAGGGCGGTGCGGAAAACTTGACCGGCAAATAAAAAACTCTTACCCAAAAATATTAAACCCCATCGCCAAGTCCACCGCCATCTAGTTGCCGACCGTTAGCAGTCCATAAAATTGTGATTTACTCCCGTTGAGATTTCAATTACTGCCGCTTTATTGGCAATAAATTTCCGTATAAATTAGGCGGGCCCAACTCCCGATCCGGATCCGCAAGGGTTACGGTTAAACAAAGCGGCAAGTAGCCGCACGTAGTCGTCGCGGAAAGGTGAAGTCGGTCGGAAAAGGTCCTTTGGGTCAACTGCGAAGACAGTAGATAAATGCGTTTAAATGTTAAGCGACGCATTGATACTCAGTGGTTCTTGGAGTTAGATAGAAATATTGCAATAATTGGCTTTTAATTAAAATAATAGCTAATAGCTGTTCAAAAATTATATCAATAAATATTTAATTAGCTGGCTGGTAATATATTTAATCTAATACTATTTAATTAAATGCTTTCAAAAGTGTTGCCTGTATGGAAACTTGATAAAGATTTATACGTAATTAATTAATTATTATATTTAATCGATTTGAATGCTTAATTTAATTTAACATCTCCTTTAAATCCTTAGCGCTTACAGCATTTTGCGTGCAAGACTGGGATTCCAACTTTCTGACAAAATTACTTTCTGATTAAGAACAACGTACTTTTTAATCGCCAAGTTTTAAAAATAACCTTTAAATATTGTTGATTATAAATTAAATTTTGAAAATAGTAAAAAATATATAAAAATTAATTAAATTGATTTTCAAGTCGAAAAAAATGGCTCTCTCAACCTACTATGTATAATTATTTTAAAAAACTTATATACTCTTGTATTTTCCAGGATAGCACTTATAAAAATTGATTGCAATGCAAATAAAAATTCGTCGATTTCTTTGGGCACGTTCATGTCGTCATCGTCGTTGTAAGAAAATCCATTGACGACTCTTCAAATCTCTCTCTCCAGACCAAAACAGTTTTTGTTTTGTTTTGGCTTTCCTGGCAACGCGGAAAATATTAAAGCCGCTTCCGATGCTGCCAATCACGAAGTTTCGCAGGTGGGGGCCGGTTCAAACAACTTCCGCTCCGCGGAAAGCCTAACCAACCTGACACCTTCGTAGACAAGGGGCCACAGTACGTATAGGTTGGGAACTTCTTGAAGCTATGCAAATGTGGTTAAATTATATATTATATTATATAATTTAACCATTAATTACATTTATATATTTTGTAATAATAATACCTATTTTTGAGCGATTAAATAATAATAAATAATTATTATTATAAAAATTGTTTATGTATTTTCAAATTAGCAAATATCTGTCAACATAAACCTTACTCCCAGAGTTCATTATATATATATATATATTTTATATATATTTCCCTCAAAATATTAAATTACTCAAAAAAGCTCTCTTACAAAAATTAAGTATTAAAAAAGTTGAGCAATTACTTGAGTTTCCCTTAATTTCATTTAATCACAACCATTTGGTATTAAAATAATATAAATTTGTAAGATTTTGGAACTAAAACTTTAAAAATACTTTTAAAAAAATAAAGTTGTTGAATGACTGGAATAAATATGAGGAGAAAATACCTGGGCTTTCCTTCGTAATCGTGTGCATGTGAGTGTTTATTGTGTGTATTATCCTAGGGCTTATCACAAAATCTTATATTCCACCAGAGCATTGGGCTCTACAGATACTGCGAATCTGCGTAAAGGTCACGGAACTCGAGCAGCTGATCCAACGCCGATTCGTAGTCATCCCGCTCCAAGCCGGAATTCGAGTACGCTTGCAGCTTGGCCAGCTGCACGCGATGTGTCTGGGCGTGCAAATTGTCCAAGTGCTCGCCCAGTTTGGTGGAGTTCTGCAGGGCGGCCAGCACGGGTGCGGCATCCACACGAGTGCCCGGCTCGCGTTCCGACCCTCCTGGCAAGCAGAAGCCCTTGCCAGAGATGCTGCCCGAGAACATCTCATGGGGGAAGGGCAGCTGCGTCTTTAGCGGCAGTGGTGTGGCTGCTGCATTGGTGGCACTGCCATGATAGCTGCACTGGTAGTACAGCTGCAGCATGTGGGACACACTGTCGCAGCCATAGGCAGCCATCCGCAGTTGTTCGCCGGCCTGCTCCCTGGGACGCTTCAAACGCTCTGCGGGAATGCCGCGTGCCGTCACCGATTGCATCACATAGGAGGTGCCCGGTTCGCAGCCCGGCGTGAGTTGTGTTAGCAGCGCATGGTCTCCGCTCTGGTCTAGGAACTCTATCAAATCTTGGCCCTCTCTCAGGCCGAAAGGAAGAGCCAATCCTGCGGCAGTCATCTTGCGGCCAGAAGGAGAAATACGCTCGCAGAAACGCAGCAGGGAATCCGGCGTTTGCCGCAGGCGATAGCCCAAAGTGGCCGTGTCCAGAAAGGCAGCCAGCAGGGCCGACGTTTGATAGAGGTTGTCCGCCTGCCATTGGAGTCCCGGCAGATTGCGCGACTTGAGATTGGTGTTCCGCCAGATGGTCTCCAACGTGGACAGTGGCGTGAACATAGAAGCCTGCTCGCTCAGGTGATGGTAGCCCAGCACGCTGTTCACCACCCGAATGCTGTGTGACAGGCGGGGATCTGGGAAGAGGGCAATCAATGTTCACAAGGTCCCCTTGCTTAAGAGCCATCTTACTCACCCGCTTGGGCATAGCTCGTGTTCCTGGGCTGGTGCAGCGGCAGCACAAAGCTCGCCCGGCTGTACTCATCGTTCAAGTGCTCCAGACACTTCCCGGCCAGCCCGCCGAAGCCATCGTCAATGTCGAAGAGCACATGGAAGCCCTGCAGGCCATCGCATTCCTCCACATACAAGCGGATGCGATCGCAAAACTCATCGTTGAAGGCGGCTGCCTGCCACAATTCCGTGCCGGCGGAGTAGGTGCCCAGCGCTTGGACAGTCGGATCCCTGACCAGTCCCGGCAATATGTTCAGGGTGCGGGGATGATAACGGGCGTACAGGAAGTCCGCCCAACTGTTTGCCGTCTCCGCCAGCCGATAGTCCTTCTCGGGCACCACGGAATTCCTCAGCAGATCCCGTTGATACTCGGACACGGCGGCCTGTGGCTGCTCCTGCACGTCCAGCTGCTGCGAGGTGGACACCCCGCTCTCCTCCGCCTGCTGGCGTGCCCGCTGCAGTTGCTCGCCGGTGCCCAGGGGCAGCAGCTCCTCGTCTCGCTGCACAAAGTTGCCGTACAGCTCGCCGGTGACCGGAATGTGGCCCAGAGTTCCCGCCAAATCCACGGATAGCAGGCGGGGCGTGTAGGTGGTGCGATTGAGGGCATTTATCCCTTCTCGGTACAATATGTCATTGTTGGGCAGCTGCTCCTCGGCCACCTGTTCGCTTTCGTCGCCGTACCTGAAGTTGGCCTCCTGAAAATGCGGATTTGGAGCGATTCTCCGGCTGCCAGGTGGGTGGGCCAACTCACCTGCTGGTTCCAGAAGTGCGCGCCCACGTAGTTCGCGTAGGTTCCAAACTGGAAGGTCAGAATCTCCCGTGTATGGTCCATAACAGCCGGCAAAAGTGACTAATTTGGATGCGGTTGCACGAACTGCGCGGCGTTATCGATTACGCCGAAGCTATCGATAAGCATGTACGCTAAACAACTTTTTAACTATCGACTTTCGGATACCCTGTAGCGATATGTTTGCAGCATAATATATTATATCATATCTAACTAAAACACATTTTAGTTTGTAGCTTTACTGTTATTTATATATTTCGATTGAAAATTAATGGCAGTTTATAAATTTTTTTGTACTTGTTATCTTGAAATCTTGTTTAACCCCCAACCTGTGACGCAGAGCACAGCATACCCCACGAATACCCCTTTTGCGAAGCAATGGCCAAGTCAAAAGGCAAAAATCACGTGTAGAGCTTATATTGAGAATTTATTCGATGGATGAATCCGCACCTGGATGCAGATACGGACAGAGAATGACCTAGTTGTTGAGCACAATGGAGAGGTAGCAGTTCCAGATGAGGGCGATGCACTGGGCGTAGATCACCTGGTAGCCCAGCGGCACGAAGCTGAAGTTGATCATCTGGGCGGCTGGCCAGAGCATGTAGTTGCGGGCCATAATGGTGGGATAGCTGTCGACGATGCGCTTCTGGATCTTGTCGACGGGTTCGCCGTTGACCAGCGGCACCAGGAACGACATGAGCAGGGTGAAGGGTGGCGCAAAGAGGCCCTGGTCGAGCAGCATCTTGGTGACACCGCGGCGCAGCGGGGTCTGGTTCTTGGGAACCCGGGACTCTAGGAAGAGGTACCATCGCCGTAGGACCGGGCCCACGACCACCAAGCCCAAAGCACTGAAGCGAACGGTTCGCCCGGCATCCCATTCGTCCAGCGACTTCTTCTCGATGGCCAACTGGGCTATCGTATCGCCCAGACCCATTATCGTCGCCACATTGATGCCCTCCTTGAGGTAGGCCCTGATACTCGACATCTTCAACTGACTGCTATCCTTTGTACTTTTTTCGAACACGTTATGATTTCAAACACTTCACTCAGAATTCCCGGTTCGCGGTGATAAACATTGTCTGCGATTTTTAAAGGGTTGTCTATTGATCTCAAAGGGGTCGGTTTTGGATCCCCAAAAAATTGACAAAACGGAACGCTGTTTACGGTAACTCTGATTTAAAATTAACGTTAATCCCGTAGATGCTTCGTAAAATGGAAATGTCAATGAAAACCGTCAAATCAAAATATTACTGGAGATAACTAGATTTCCATTACAACGAACAGTGAACGAAGTTATAAGATAACTAAATATATTTAAATTATGTGTTGCGCTATTCTCAATAAAAAAATTTTCATTTCTGGATAAAAGTGATAATACCTTAAAATCGTTGAACATCGGCAAACAATTATTCAATAATAACATAAAATAAATATTAATATAATAATATGAATAATATCAAAGCTATAAACACCGTGTAGGTGATTGATGTTTTAAAATTACTATATTTGTTTATTTGGCAACCCTATTATTGGAAAACGATAAAATGATATAACTTTTTTTATAGATTTAAAGTTGTAAGCTATGCACTTAGTACAACTATAGAAAGACATTTTAAAATTAAATTTTTGAAGGTAATGTTATTTTCGTGCTAATGACTAAGAAATCCTGTCCTTCACACATAAACACTAAGAGAAAATTGTTAAAATATTTATTTATAAGGCCACCCACAACATAAAGTATAAACAAAACAGTTTGTGTATTTGCAGTAACTGCTGAATTTTTCAAGAAGTCAGCAATTCAGCACTTACTGGAATACCCGAAATCTACATTTATATTTATTTATTTACAGATGTTTTTTTAAATAAAAAATTCTTAACAACCGGTCGGATATCCTTCCGTCTTCTTTACAGAGTTAATATAGTTAAGCTAAGTAAGAACTAACTGAGTTGGAGGAGCTGGTCCCTGGTCTAATTGCCTGCTTTCAGCTTCTTGCGCTTTCGGGTCGGTGCCTCGGAGTCGTCCTCTATCACCACTACGTCGTCGTCAATGACATCGGAAACCTCGCCTTTCTCCTTTCGTTTTTTTTGCTTCTTGGCGGATGTGGGTTCTTCATTAATTACAACTTCTTCGTCCAGAGTGTTAGCATTGGCTGCTCTAACGACAAGAATTTGACCCTTTGATTTCAGCTTCTTTTGCTTTTTGGATGACTTCTCCTCCTCCTCAACTTCTTCCACCTTGATCTCCACATCCTCCAGAATATTTTCTATTTCGTTAACAAGGATTTGCCCATTTGATTTGCGCTTCTTCTGCTTTTTGTGTGATTTGGCCTCCTCGTCTTCTACTTCCTCCTTGATCTGCACCATGTCCGGAATATTTTCTGCTTCATTTGCAAGGATTTGGCCATTTGATTTGCGCTTTCTTGGTTTTTTGGATGATTTGGGCTCTTCCTCAATAGCTTCCTCCTTGATCTCCACGACTTCCATGATATTTTCTGCTTCGTTTGCATGGATTTGACCACTTGATTTGCTCCTCTTTTGTTTTTTGGTGGAGATGGCCGACTCCCTCTCGCTCCGCACCAGTTCATCTCCGTCTGGCTGGACCGATCCGTTGGTTTTTTGCTTCTTGCTCTTCTTGACGGCGGCAGCAGTTTGCTCCTCCGACACCTTATCCGTGAGGTTTATGTAGCCGCTCGACGTGGCCGTTGCCTTCATGAAATTGGGCAGAAGCCCGGTGAGCACCGACTGCCTCACATCGTACTCCTTCTGCTCCAGCGTTTGGGTGGAGTTAAGCAGCTTGCTGCGGACCGCATAGTAGTTGGCAGTGCGCCACAGTCTGGCCTTGACTTCCAGATTTCGCTTGTCGCCCTCGCTGATCGTTTTTGTGATCTCCTCGGGCACTTGGACGCGTTCCTTGTAGTCGTGCCCGAAAAAGGGATGGCGGACGCGGAAGCGAATCTTCGCTGGCGTTGCAGCGGCGGGAAAGACCTGCTCCTCATGGCCTGCCGCCGGTTGCTTAGCATTCAGACGCTTGCCGACCACCACGTAGCCGGTGAGTGGAAGTTTCCGGAGGGCATACTTCCCCTTGGTGGTCACATAGCCGACGGCTCGGCTCTGCGGCGCTGTGTACTTAATGGCCCGCACCTGGAGATCGCCCACACACTTCCGGCCGGGCATTTTGATCCGCTTTCCGGCAAGCTGGTGGGGATCCGTGCCCTTGGGACACTGCAGCAGCCAGGCGTCGTGGGACTGGGCATCGAAGTCATTGAACGCATTGCCACAGCATTTGTGGGCCGCCACACCTGCGTCCACTTCCACTAAATCCTCCTCCTCGAGGAAATTGCGGCGAAGCTCCTTCGCCTGACGGCGAGCGAACTTCTTGTCGGTTTTCTCCATGTGGCGCCGAAATATTAAAATTTTAGAGGAATAAAAACCAAAAGACTACTCCACTGCACGTGCTGTAGGCAGCAGTGTTGGAAAGCGGATCAAAGAGCGACAGCTGTTCCTATCGATAGGTTGATTTGTGTTTTAAGAAGTCCGCTTTACAGCACTAATATATCTTGAAAAAATAAAAAATATATCAATGTAGGTTACTAATAGTTTAAAACAGTTTGGGCATTCACGAAACGTTTGAATCTCTGAATAGATGAAAATTCAGCAAGATTCGCGTTCTCGATGTGGGACAAGTTCGCGAAGCTTGTTTTTATAAATAAATTAGTGTACAATAGTATTTGTCATTTATTTTCGTTTTAAGTCGTACGGATGTCTCGTTTTCGGTCCTGACTACGCATATGTTTTTCAACATTTTTTTTTGTCTACCAAAAGATTAATATCTAACATAAAATGCTAAAGCAATATGTCAATTTGTCACTGGAACTTTAGCCCTCTACAATTTGTTTTAAAAAATAATATAAAAATAATAATAATATAAATATATATATATTTTTTCTGTATTAAGTTAATTCCTATCCGTAGAAGAAATATATATGTTTAATTTATGTGATGTGTGTATTCCTTAAACTATCGATAGACAATCGCCCCCGCGCTTTCCAACACTCGTCACCGTTCTTTTTGTTTTCGAGGTACAAAACGTGCTGCGCATTTTGCGAGGTTTTTCTAACCTCCGCCATGAGCCAGAAGACCCAGAAAACGGTGCAGTTCCACGAGCTGGAGCTGGACCAGCGCATCCTCAAGGTATGTGGCCTGGTCTCCTCCCGCCAACGCTGGTACTCAACGGTCTCTGGTCTCACTCACTTTTGCAGGCGGTAGCCCAGCTGGGTTGGCAGCAGCCCACGCTCATCCAATCAACGGCAATTCCGCTGCTTCTGGAGGGCAAGGATGTAGTGGTTCGTGCCCGCACCGGATCCGGCAAAACAGCCACCTACGCACTGCCCCTGATCCAGAAGATCCTCAACTCCAAGTTGAATGCCAGCGAGCAGTGCGTGAGCGCTGTGGTCCTGGCGCCAACCAAGGAACTTTGCCGGCAATCGCGGACTGTGATCGAACAGCTGGTGGAGTCCTGTGGCAAAGTAGTGCGAGTGGCGGACATTGCCGGCAGCTCCAGCGATGCGGTGACCCAGCGGCATGCCTTGGCCGAGAGGCCCGACATCGTGGTGGCCACACCCGCCAAGTTGCTGGCCCACGCCGAGGCCGGCGGTGTGGTGGACCTGAAGCATGTGGAAACGCTTGTGGTGGATGAGGCCGATCTGGTGTTTGCCTTCGGTTACGAGAAGGATTTCAAGCGGCTGATCAAGCACCTGCCTCCGATTTACCAGGCTGTCTTGGTCTCCGCCACTCTGACCGACGATGTGGTGCGCATGAAGGGCCTGTGCCTGAACAACCCGGTGACGCTTAAGCTGGAGGAGCCGGAGCTCGTGCCACAGGATCAATTGACGCACCAGCGCATCCTGGCTGAGGAGAACGACAAGCCGGCTATATTGTGTGCTTTGCTTAAGCTAAGGCTAATTCGTGGCAAAAGCATCATATTCGTGAACAGCATAGATCGGTGTTACAAGTAAGTAAACAATCCCATGCGGAAGTCATCCCAAGCCAATGATGATAAACACATAAATGCAGGGAGTGGGCAGCTGGAAACAGTTGGCGCACGCATGACCAGCAACTAATCTTCTCGCTGATGGCAAAGCCAGTAGCCAACTAAACTTCTTAGCAAATATCATTATGATATATTAAACTAACTATTAACTATTTCAGAGTTCGCTTGTTCCTCGAACAATTTGGCATCCGTGCCTGCGTTCTAAACTCCGAACTGCCGGCCAACATTCGCATCCACACAATCAGTCAGTTTAACAAGGGCACCTACGACATCATCATTGCCTCCGACGAACATCATCTGGAGCAGCCGGGCGGCAAATCCTCGGCCGGCCGGAAATCGTCGCGCAGAGGCGATATGGAATCGAGTGCCTCGCGCGGCATTGATTTCCAGTGCGTGAACAACGTGATAAACTTTGACTTTCCCAGGGATGTGACGTCGTATATCCATCGGGCTGGCAGGACGGCCAGAGGGAACAACAAGGGCTCCGTTTTGTCCTTTGTGAGCATGAAGGAGGCCAAGGTTAACGATGCCGTGGAAAAGAAGCTGTGCGACAGTTTCGCCGCCCAAGAGGGCGAGCAGATCATCAAGTGAGAACACAAGAAAGACTATCCCTAAATGGTAATATTGCAATAAAAAAAACCCTTTCAGGAACTACCAGTTCAAGATGGAGGAGGTGGAATCCTTTCGTTATCGTGCCCAGGATTGCTGGCGAGCCGCCACGCGAGTCGCCGTTCACGATACTCGCATCCGGGAAATAAAAATGGAGATCTTAAACTGCGAGAAGCTGAAGGGATTCTTCGAGGAGAACAAACGCGATCTGCAAGCTCTGCGCCACGACAAACCACTGCGCGCCATCAAGGTGCAAAGTCACCTGTCCGACATGCCCGAGTACATTGTTCCCAAGGCCCTTAAGAGAGTGGTGGGCTCCACCGCGCCCCCATCCTCCGCCGGAGCTTCGGCGGCCAAACAGCCACGTCAGTCCGCCGCCAAGGCTGCGTTCGAGCGACAGAGCAATGATCCCCTGATGGTCAGCCAAGTAGACGTTGGCAAACGACGTTTTGCCCCACGGCGGAAAAAGAAGGCGCTGTAGCGGAGTATAGTCTGTAATCATAGAACAATTAATTTTAAGGAAAACAAAAGTTCTTATACTTCATGTGAATAATGTTCATTATTTATAAAGTTTATTAAACGTATGTAAAACACGGATGAGTAAATCATTAATGGGTATATTCTGAGGCAGATACTGACGTATTGAATGCCATTACTGTGAACCCTGGTAAGTATCTTCTACTAGCTTTATATAAGCTAGCTATATAATTAATGTGACAAATATTCGATTTAAAATAGTTCCACTTTGATTTAAATGCTTTTTACTTAAGTTAAATATGGGTTAAATTAAATAAATTCAGAAAATAATCAAATGAAATATTCAGTTTTTAATATTTTCAAATTTAAAATACCTAAAAAGCGCAATAGATGAAAAATCAAACCGAAAGTCATTTAAATTTGAGTATAATTATTTTATTATTTATTTAAAAGTGTCCAGCTAAATTACACACGGTAGGATAATAAATATTGGATTTGCTAATTTAGAAACCCTACTATTTTGTGATTAATGGCGTTAGGTAACTGACAAACCACACAAACGAGAGGGCACTAATTCATGCTCACTTTTTCTAACTGAATACGAGGCAGAAAATAAATGTACGAGTCACATTACTCAAATTACCAGTAGATGCGTTGTAAATCACAGCGCTGATTGTCCGGCTGTCCAGCTGGAGATCATTTAAGCTCATCATACTGAAAGTGCCGGGAAGAACAGAACACACACATCACCATTAGTGGCTATTTGGGTAATTTCCATTTCCCTAGCGAAATTAAAGCGACGCAATGGGGCTTCGTTTTTAACATTTTATTATTGTCATTGAAATAGTTAACATTCATACAATTATTTATTCATTTATTTATAGCGTTTATGCAATACAATAATAATAATCATGAGGATAATAATAAAAAACTATAAGAATGGCCAAGTCTTTCTGTCTATATAGTTAGTTGTCTGAGCAATCGAAACGGGTAAACAGGTAAACGGAAATGGAAACGGAAATGGAAACGGAAACGAACAAAACAGGGAAACAGAAGGCGGTTTCGGTTGGGCTTTCTCATCCATCGACTATCGTAGTAATGACTTTTATAATATCGCTTTGTTAATCGCTAAATTTAACATATACATTTAAGTTAATTTAGCATAATCGTAATAAAACTTGCTAGGTGTAGGTATAGATATACGCGGTTATCCCTGGTTCCTATGGACAGTAGTATTTGACTATTTCGGATGGGATGGCCACGAGCTGGAGGAACAAATGCCCTGGACTCTCTCTCTCTCTCGCTCTCTCTATCTCTCTCTTTCTCACGCTATTGATCTATATAAATATGTAGTAGTAGTATTAACTTAGGGAAAAACCAACATGAAATCACATCGCAAATGAAGAATGGATAAATAATAACTGATATTCTGATACTGAGAAAGAGGCACAAACACGAAATTAATGAATCTAGACTAAAATGCAGCCATACACATACATGTATCTATGTAGAGATATAGATCGGTACATATCTCTATAAACGTTTTGCTCTCATTATATTGTATATAATATGTATATACTATATTGATTTATGCTTTATTTGTTACGATGCTAAAAAATGTTATCTTCAATTCAATCCCCTTTTTCAATATCCTCGATGTGGATTCCCACATTCGTTTCCTTCCTTCGTGTTTTTTACGTTTTTTTAGTTTTAGTTTTTTGTTTTTTTTTTTCATTATTTTGTTTTCTTTGTAACACACATACAGAACTCGTTTAGATTATTGTTGCAACAAGACGTAAAAATATACATATTTTCATAAAAAAAATGACCATCGCTCAGTGCTTCCGTCTCTAACTGAACTTGTTTGTGGATGAAAAAGATCCAGCGGATCTGAATGAGGGTACACAGTGAGTAAGAACATCCTCACTCTTTTGCAGGACCTTGGTATATACACAAGTCTTCATATCATATGTATACTTTAGATATACGCAAATTTCAAAAGAGTAGTAAGAACGACAAAAAAAAAAATACATTAAAATATACCCGAAGCGATCGACTGCCTGGCGATATCCGCAGTTGGATACATTTGGCAACCCATCTACCGCCTCGGGTCGGTCCGTGTGAGTGATGCCATCCATCCAGGCCAGCTTAGATGGGCACATAGTTGCCCTTGGGCTTGTAGAACCACTGGCCGCGCAGCAGACGGCGTCGGATCTCGGAGAGCAGCAGGCGTTTCTCCTTCTTGATCTTCTTCAGCACACCCTTGTTCTCCTGGGCACGACGCGACAAGTAGGGTAGCACCTCCTCGACGGGGCCATACGGGATGTACTTGTAGGCCGAGTAGCCCGCCTGACCTGTACTCGGATAAGGATCAGCAATTAGTTATGCAAAACGCTGCGGTTTTACGCATAGAAACCCACCCAGTGGGAAGGTGATATAGTCGCACATGCCCAGCAGTTGGCCAAAGCAGATCACCTTGTCCTCCGGCGAAATGCCAATCTCCTTCATCTGCTGGATGGCAAAGCGTACGGTGTCTTCGTTGTGCGAGGCCACCATAATTCCAATCTTCCTGGCATCGTCATCACAGTCCTTCATCAGCTGTGTGTGTGTGTGTGTGTGTGTGTGTATTCAAATTATTCTCTGTTAAATTTGATTAACTAATGGACCTAGATCTAAGAATAGCACACCTTAATGCGTCGCAAGCACTCGGCCAGCGTCTTGTGATACATGTCCGTGGTGGCCTCGAACGTGGGATTGACCGGATCCGGATAGCCCAGCGACTTGGCACGGTCCCGCTCCTGGTCCATGTACGCACCGCGTACCAGCTTGGCGCCAAAATAGAAATTCTGTCGCTTAGCCTGCTCCAGATCGGTGTTCACCTCGCGGAAGGTTTCGCGCAGGTAGCACTGGTACGTGTTGAATACGATGGCCTTCTCTTTGTTGTACTTTCGCATCATCTCGAGGGTGATGCGCGAAATAGCCGGCTGAAAGTATGTCTGCTCTGCGTCCACCATGATGCGTACATCCAGATCGGCAGCAGCCTATGGGTGTTTGAATTTGTGTTGAATCAACCCAGTTGAGTTTTATCCGAGGAGGCCGATCTCACCTTTACAATCGTGTTGAGACGACGGATCATGTTCCTGAACATCTCCTCCTCTTTGGGCGGTATTTGTGAGATCAGTCGACGCATCTGGCCGGTTTGGGGGTCTGGCACACGGAACGTATCGCTCAGCTGCGAGTCCTCGTCCACGATGCCCGACCAGGGGAACAGATGCAAGATTCTAAATGTGATTGATTGATTGACAAACAAACAAAGGGAATGAGTTGGGAAAGGGGGTTTGCTTTGGAGGTATGCAAGAACTACTAACCCCTCCTTGTCGGACGTCACATTGTTTAAAAACTCCTTCACATCCTTATTGTCGCCCAGCGAGGCATAATACTTCTCGAGATCCTTGATGGTCTTGTGGTGAGTGAGCACATTGCCCTGACCGCCCACCATGTCTTCCATGTACTTGCGTGTGCGCATGATCACCTCGGACAGTTGTAGCTGAAAAGGTGAGTGGAAAAGGTCGTTAGACTGAATGCGTTCTATATACCTTTTTAGATAACTTCTTATATATTTAAACTTGTTGGTTAAAAACATCGAAATAAAGCAAGGTAAAACTGCACATGGGAAATATAAAAAGTCGCAATTAATTCAGGAAAACTTCAACTCTCTAGCCAAATATAGTTTACTCCTAACCAAAACCTTTTGAATGCCTTTTTTTTAGATTAATGCTAACTTACAAACTTCTTAAATACTAAACATAAGCTTTCATAATTTGCACCTTAGAAATGAACAAACATTTGATTTAAACTTGTTTTTTTTTTAAATATTCTATTGTATTGGCAAGAGGAACATTTAAGAGCAAGTAGGTTTTTCTGTTCATTAACACCAATTAACTTGTGTTCGCTTTGCCATTTATTGACACCTATTACCCTGTTCCTTGTGAATAAATAGAACTTCTCAATTATCTGTGAGTCGAGGGGATTACATTGTGCTTACTTACCAGCAATTGTGGACGGCCCAGGGCGGTGAGTTTAATGGCGGTGATGCCCGTTCCGAAAGTAGCCCCTGCAGTTGGATAATCCAATCAATCGATGGTTGGTTGGTTTGTTGGAAATGAGAGGCATTTGAAAAAAGAGCAGAGCAATCGGTGAATGAGATGCGGAAAGCGGATTCTATGGGTACACACAACATACATATGTATGTATATCTCTAGCTACGACACTTTACAAATATCAAATGATACGGATTACGTTTACGGATTGAGATACAGATACAGATAGAGATACAACTACAACTACAACGCCGGCTACGGCTAGTTACACAGATCAACATCAAATAGCTAAAAACGCACACGAAATGGCCAAAAAGTCAAACTCGTTTGCTTTGCTCGGTCGAAACACGGACTTGGCCATCAATGGTTTACTGTTTTGGATACTTTTTCGATACTTGTTGGATAGTTTTCGGAGTTACTTGTTTTTGGTGTTTTGAGGAGTGTGTGTGTGTGTGTGTGTTTTTAATTTGTCGGCTTACCCGTGGCCACTGCCCGGGGCGCCTTTTGATCGTCATCTTTTCATTTTTGGGAATTTTGCAACGATTATTTTGATTTGATTTTGGGTTTTTTGATTTATGTGGGGGGTATTCGATTATCGATGGGTTGGTGCCATTTTTTGGGATTTTCGGGCGGAGGGGGCGGAAAAAAGAATTTATTAATTATCAATTACAAATTTCTTCAAGGAGAGATTTAGAGAAATTTTTAAATTTTAAGAAGGAGAAAGCCTAGCAGGGGACAGCCTGAAACCCCAAAAGCATTGAACTCTTACGTGCCTTTCGTGGATTGTGGGAACTACATCTGGCGGAATGTTCTATCCAAAAAAATATATATGTATATTCGTCATAACAGAAGAAAACTAAAGTTCTAAATGGGTAGAAAACTCTTATTCATATTTTAATTCAATGCAAGCCTTATTTTTGAGCCGCCCTTAGCTTTTTTCATTCATATGCAATGAAATCAGGGTCTTGAAATTAACGAATATTAATCTATCCAAAACAGATTAATATTCTTTAATT